TAACCGTTTTCAACATGGTGTCTTTAATCGCTACATCTACATGGATTTTTCAATGCTCCTTTTTAGTCTCTCTTTAATAAGTGTCTACATTTTTATGTTGGTTCTTTGAAACTGAATTCTGCTTTAGTGGATTATTTTCTGATTCCAGAAGCATTTTCATACCTGAATACTTTGTAGTTACTGTTGAGAAACAGTAACTGCTTTAGTTTATGCTATGCAATGCATCATCTTTCTTCTGTTCTCTTTTTGTGCCAAGAAGCGATGACTTAAAATGTCTAAACTGATTGAACTGTGCAGGTTAGGAAGTATCTTTTCTTTTTGTACCTCGGTGTTCATATGAAGATAATTTTATTATTAGCCTTTAAAATTATATATCACTCTCATCTCACCACGTCAGTCATTATTGCTGTCCTGATTTGGAGGCCAGTCATGTGACCTTACCTGTATTTTAATCCTGGATTGCAATTTTACGCCTGAGGATTTTTACTCCTTGATAAAAGTTAAATTAGTTATATCACTTGTATGCTTGACTTGTCCCATTGTTTGGTTATTTTCTGTTCCACTGGGAACCCAATCTGCTTATGTAATTATCCTCTTTTAAAACCAGGCAACTCAGTTCACTTTTGTGCTTTATTCGTGTCACCTAAAATATTCAACCCTGCAAAAAGTTACGAATTCAATGTGAAACTACTTGGTTTTTTTCTGATACACTTCTCAGGTCTTTAGAAAGTTGATATTAAACCTGTTTTCAAGGGCTAGCTTTTGTAGGCATTCCTTTGGACCAAATTGTCTGTATTATCTATAATTGATTTCCCATAATGCTTAGCCAACGAGCCATTCATACATTTGCCTTCTGACATCTGTAGTTACTTGGAATGCCCATATGTAGAAATAGGTTCTGGTGCTGCTATTTTGTATGCGATTTTTTTTGTTGTTGTTTGCAAGCAAACTCTGTAGAATTGGAGACCAACTTGTCTTCTGTACCTTGAAGGATATCACATAGATGGGAAGTAGAAATCAGTCACCCTTTAAGTTATACAAAGCTAAAGGCCTATCTTTTCTACTATTATGTTTTTTGGGGCTGCCTGTGGAAATTGGGCCAGATTGAAATGGTGGTATTTTGGTACTGTTAGCATTCAAAAACAACAACAAAATTAATTTCTGAAACTGGAACCAAGCAAATAATTATCTTTGTTGTGTAGCAGAAAGCTTGGATGTCAAAAGTAACTTCATGTAAGTAAGAACCACAGGCAAATTTACCTTGGAGGGGGCTTCTTCAAAGTCAGATCAGATTGCTCAGGGCCTTTCCAGTTCAGTTTTGCATTTCCAATGCTGAAATTTCTGTTGTCTGTCACCCTTTTGATTTGCAACTCAAACTCTGTCTTTCTTGCACCCTCTCTTTGGGGTAGTGGAAGACAGAAATGAGATCAGTGCTCCTTACTCTAATATATAAGCCAACTGACCAATGGTTTCTTGGAAGAAACCACTGAATAAATGAAGACTCAGTAATTACTGTAAGAGTTGTTGGCATCAATGGCTTTTTGTGCTTCTATATGTGTCAGATCTTCCCTCTATAAAGTTCTCTTTTTCTTCTTTTTTTCTCCCCTCTCCCCCCCGCCCCCCGCAGCAATATATCTGGTACTTGAGCTTCTCCTTCTAGGGAAGATGCATGTGTACGCATAGAATTCCTATTGAAATCTGTCAGTGCTACATAAATACACTTGTTGCTGGTATTCCCTTCCTCTGTATCTGAATCTTATAAAAACGTGTAAATTTTTTTCATTTTAATTAGTCCTTTTCTTTGATGCCTTCCTGCACAAGAGTCTTTCTGCTGCCAGGAGAAAGAGACAAAAATATATACCCACCACATTGTTCTAACCGAAAAAATTCTTCTTACAAAGTCTGAAGAAAAGATGGCTTGTTTAGGCTTCAATAAGGCATAGGCAGTTCATATCCTGTGTAAACATGTATGATCTCCAGATTTTTATTTTTCAAGCATTTGTAAATTATTACTGTATGGAGAGCTTGTACAACTACTGTTTTCGTAGGGCAACATGGGACTTCATCCATGGAAAATTATTCTGTGGCTACTTGGCTATTGCACTATTCTTTTACTAAGAGTTAAAAAAAAAATGTCCTCTTTTTATTGAATATGGCCTTCTAAATGAATGGTCCATCACATTCCCTTCTTTAAAGCCTTTCATATTAGATATAGAACTCTAAAATACAAGAATCTGATATTCAAATAACTGATTTTTTTTTTCCCCCAACTCCTCCTTGGTTCCATTTTCTTTCATTTTACTATATATTCTTTCCCAGTTATAACGAATTAAAGAGGAACAGTTGGCTAGAATGGAGAAAGGTAAAAATATGCTTTTTTCTTACTGTAACTTTATCCTCATTGAGTCAGTATCTGCTGGCTCATGTGATTAGAGCAGAAGCTATGTTAGGAGAAACTCAGACTAGAAATAGGTCTTTAATCTTTCCTGCCTCTCTGCTCTCTTCTGGAGAAATCCAGTAAAAAGGTAGAAACCTCATGGGTTTTTTTCTTACTGAGGTCTTGAGATGCCCTTTTTTTTTTCCTACTTGGATAATTAAATTATGCATAAGATCATTAGTCTTCCAAGTTGTCTACTAATCAGCATTTATAGTTTCTCTTCAACTGTGACAGTTGGCTGGGGAGTTGGAGAAGCAAGTAGTACTCTAAACTGCTCCCCTTGTTGACATGATCTCAGGTAGCTAGGAGAAGAGGAAAAAAGACCAGAGCAACCTCCATATTTGGAAGACGAGCAAGAAGATTCTACCTCATAATACATGAAGGAACAGCAGTTGCCCTCTTTAGAGAAGGTAAAACTACAGTAAAAAGTATTTTTACCTAATGCAAATAAAATTGGACAATTACGTTGTCTTGTTCCTAGCAATCTGGTCTCTTCCCATTGATAAGAATGTAATTCAAGCTAGCTGTAACAAACCTTAAAAATGTAGACTGTGTTTCATAGAAAAGATGGGTTGTGTTAATGGCAAATAAAGGAAAAAGTCTTCAGTCAACTACTGTCATCTGTGAAATCGTGTGTTTTATTTTCACACTGTTATAACATACCTACTTTGTTCCAAAAGTTTTTGGTTTTGTTTTTATTGTTAATTGCCTTGGCCTTCGTCTTGGCAGAGGCTTGGACTTTTGTTAATATATAGATATCCCTAAAAATTACTTCAGTTTCTTGTTATATTTCTGGATCTTCTGTCTTGGTGGTTTTTTGTTTTGTTTTCTTTTTCAGAGATATATTATTTGACAGAAGTGTTCAAATACGTGTTTTGGTTGGTAAATATTTAGTCTTTTGCCAGCCATTTTGCAAACTAATTTAAAATTCAGGCTACCTTTAAAAAGAAAGGGCTAAGCATTGCAGGAACATCTACATTCAAAATAAATTACTTACTGTTTATCATTCCACTTTCTTTTTTATTCAAATATTTCCCTTAATGCTGACAATTAGGTGTGCAACTATATTAGCTTCTGACCACATTTGCCTGGGAATTGTTTTGTATCAACTTGGTTCTGTTTTCTAGGCCATAGAAATCATGCTTTTTGAATATGTAAGTGGCAAGTATTAGTTACCCCCTGCATTACAGATATTCCATAGTTGTCATAGCTGTAAGTTATTTCTGAAGTCCACAACTTCCTCCCCCATCAATCTGAATCATTTAAATCACTCTTTTAAACTTTGCGTTTTCTGGAAAAAAGTGGTAATAGTATTGTTCCTAAAAGTATGCTCTTTAACTTTGATTTAGTTGAGTGGCTTTCTATGCTGAATTGTTTGCAGTCTATACAAGTACTTTCTTTTGTGTTAATTTACAAGTCATACAAATAACTTCTGGGAAGCTCTAATGCTTTATAATAACTATTTCATGCTCCTTAGGGAAAAAGCAGATTAGTACAGGTTCTAGTGATTTGCTTAAACATACCATCATTTTTGGGGTTTAATCTCTTCAACTATTTCATGAAATACGGAGTTTGAATTACTTGCTTAATTGAAACTAGGTAAATTTGTGGCAAATAGGCAAGTACTTTATTTGAAGCAACCTCCCTACTGCCCCAAACCTTGCATCTTTATAACAAGTAAAAAGGTTGTTTACGTCTTCCAGGATATAAACTTACGCTGACCTAGCTTTTAAAGAAAACTTCCATAGACTGAGGCTGTAAACTTATGGTCATTTATACTTTCATTTCTTTTCAGATATACCACCAACTGTGGATAAGAATTAGCTTTTATCTAGTAACTATTTAGAAATATCTACTAATTAGTATCATTTTTGAAAGGATAAAGTTTTAGGGAACTTTTGTTTTAGTTTATTTGGCTGTAAACATATATTTACTTTTGGTAGCAGCTTGGTTATGTTACATGTAAATCAGCAGTTATTTCTCATGCTTTGTTAAGTAACTCATGTTCACCTGAGGCAAGATTAACAATTGGATTGTTAGGACAGAACCCCATTTGGTAGTTTGAACAATTTTTACCTTTTTTTTTTTTTTTGCCGGTGTGAAGAGTAGATGCTTTCTAAGTGACAGATCTTGTTGAAGACCTATAATATGTTACAGTCAAGTAAATGTATATCAGATCGACTTCATTTGCTGTCTCTTACTGAAGCAATTTGGTTTTCTTTAATGTTACAGTACTGCACGTCTGTGCTGAAGTGGCATGTAATGCCCGTCTGGTGGTGTTACAGTTTGTGATGCAAAAGTGGGGCTATATAAGTAACTAAATAAAGTACTGAGTCATTCAATGCCTGAGATTATAGTTATGGTAAGCATATTTTGAAAAAAACTTTCTTCACTGATGTCATACAATTCCCTATGTTCAACGCTGCTTGTCTGTTGGGAAATAATTTGTAATTCCTGCATTTTCCCATATGTGTACGTGTTTTAATGAGGAGAAGGAATTCCATCTAAACAATAATCAATTAACTACGAAAACTTTGTCTATGTGTTTCTTGTTTCCTAACAGCACAACTTGGAGACTATAAGGCTTCAGTACATCATTCAGGGTATCTGTCAAATTACAACTTTATACCAGAGCAGAACAAAGATTTTCTTACCAAAGTAGAATCGCTACATGAGCAACACAGGTAACATTAACTTTTAGTTCTCTCTCACCTCCTGAGTTTTTAAAGAAAAAAAAGATGCTAAAAGGAAGACTCAATTTCTTAGTAGTTTCAGTATGACAGACAGTTTTATTTCATATAGCTTCTGTTAAATGATATATTTGGTTTTATCATGTAGGTGCTAGACTAGTCATATTCAGAGTATGATGCCAATGTGTTAAAACGTTTAAATAAATTTCTAACTATAACAACCAGTAGATCAGTTAGCATTATACATTATTAATGGCAACTATCTAGAATACTGTACTAGATGTTTGAGGGGTTTTTTGGCTCAAGGACATTTCACCATTTTTCAAATCCTGTAGATTTTTTTGTCTATCTATGGGGGAAAAAAACACCCATGAAACACTTCAATTAACATTGTGCTTTCTCTCCACTCACCTGAGTGTAATATAAAGGTTACAACAGATTATTCCAGTCAGTCTGCTGCTAATTACTCTTTCTGACCCTGCTGATTTGTCCCTTGTAAGACCGCAGCTTTAGAATTAGTGGTGATCAGATACTTGCAAGCTGAATGCAAATATGCCAACCTACGAAACTGTCTGTGAGCATTTGAGCAAATGAAATCCGAATCTCTATGGACTTGTTCTCTCTGTCTGTATCTTTACTGCAGCAGAGCTAGTTCCCCACTCTCCTAGTTTCTTTGATTTATACCCTGAAATATCTCCATTTTCATCTCCCCCTGATAGTCATCGACTTTTTTTGTCATCGTTCAGTACTCTCGCCTCTCCGTCTTGTTTTGTTACTGCTAGTGGGTGTAGTGAGTAGTTCTGAACTTCATGTGTGCTGCCTAGCATTCCAGAACATGCATGTTGCTTTGTCATTTGTGGGGCTAAAGAGAGAAAACCACTGAACTCTAACTGCAACCATTCCCACTGTGTAGGTGCTAATCTGGACTGCTTTCCTAGCAGTTAATGTTCAGGAACACAACAGCTGAGACCTCTACTCTTTCCAAATTAATTTGCAGTTTCCAGTAGGCTCAGAAGTTTTTAGAGGGGGACTTGCAGACAGGCATGAATAAATCTGCTTGTCTTTAGGAAGCAATTGTCTTGGAGACTACTGAGGGAAGATTCTGAAGAGTCTTGAAGTGGTTGGGCTGAACTCATGTATTTAGTGCTATTACAGCCAGAGATCTAAAACTGGTTATGTCCTACAGAGAAAAGATTAGAAGTTACCATTGGTCCAGACAAAGGTGTGGTGGGGTCTGTTGGAAAGGCTCCTTTCTTTTCTGGGTCCTTTCAGTGAAATTGATGCTTTCATTGAGTGTTTTTGGTAGAGTGAAGCCTTGATGACTGAGGAGTTTAACTGCTGTATTTGAATTCACGTAGGTGGTGGTAGTTGAAGTTCTGAATAAAAATACTTGAGTAGACTGGACTGGGGAAAATGTTTCTTTATTGTTTTAACACCTTTTTTGAAACTTGCTCTTCAGGCCTATTTATTTTGGAGTGCAGGGAGAGGCAGACAAGTTATTGTATATCCTGGCAGTATTTCTTGCATCCTCCTTTGGCATTCATAGTGAATACTTACGTCTGAGACATGGTTTTGACTAGATCAGTGCCAGTAACATACTTGACAAGAAGGGTTCTGGTGTTCACCAGACCTTCTGAGAAGAAAAGACAGAAAGGGAGAATTTATCTTCTGACAGTTTGAGGAGAACAGTGTTGTTTTGGAATGAGATTTCTCCTGATCTGGAGTAAGTAATATTTGCTGTACACCATATGAGATATCTGTAAATTATTATCCCTTTTAAATTGGCATTCTTGGATTACAGGATTGCAAAGCCAGCCCTATAAACATCTATCCTTTTTCATTCTTTAGTGTCCATCCTTTGGGAAACTTTCACAAAAGAAAATTAAAAGGCTGGAATTGCTGAAACACGATGTAGACTGGAGAAGCCATGCTATATCTTCTATGTTGTAGCTCAATGCAGGGTTTTTTTAGCTAGTTTTTATGTTGTTTTGCAAAATCTGAGAAAGTAGTTCTATGAACATGTTCATATCAGACACTATTCAGTGGACAGTAAGTAGCTGTTGAGAAAGCAACTGCTGTCATTTTGAACTGGTATAGCTTCAGAAATTCTCCTTTTGTGTTCATCCCTAAATCCATAGGGGGATTTTTCTGTATGTAGTTTGTTCTAACAAGGTTTTATGACTGTTTTTTTGCTTAGTACATAAGCAGCCTGAGGTCCTAGGATGTGGATATTATCCAAATTGGTAATGTTTTCATAGTGCTTGCTAGACCTAGCCATCAGTTTGAGGAGAAGGATGCATTTGAAACTTAATATGATGCTTATATTCCAGATGATGTTTGTTAGCCCTTGGGTATCAACAGCTATAAAAATTGGAAGGAGATACCGAGACCGGTTTCCTCTTGCATGTTTATCTCACTGAGTAACCACCACCTGCTTAGGGACCTCAAGGTTTCATTTCATCTCTAATTGAGTTGGGAGGTATAACAACAGTAAGAAAAAAAACTAAGTCTGTGTTGAGATACTTTTTCTTGTTGGCCCTTCAAGACACAAGGCTTGATTGGTCTGGTGTAGATGGTGTATGCAAATTGAAAATTAAAATTTACAGGCGTATCTTGTTGGTATGCAACAGACTTTCCCCATCTTTCTGAACAAAGCTCTTGATCAAAATTTTAAAAATTAAAATAAGGTACTCTTGCAAACATATTCAGCATCCTGTTGTATAATAAAATGGTAATTTTGTGGTTTTTTCTCTACCTTTCTGACACAGTGGAAGAGATAAGGTCTACTAATGGTTTTCAAAATCAAGGTGACGGTAGTCACTGTAGATGTAGGTCTGAGTAAGCAGTTTATCTCAGGATTGTGACAAACAGCTCTCGTTTTGTCTTTGCTCTTTTTTCCAATGTTGTGACATCGTCAAGCCACACTGCTGGCAATGGCTTTCCAGTTCAAGGTGTCTTTCAGTTTCATGGAGCATGATGTAATATTTCCTAGCATGGCTGTTTCAGGGCATAGTATTTTGATGGCCTGGAATTTGAAAGGATGGATATTAACTGGAAGTAATAGATGTCCACCTTTTGAGGTAAAGCCCCTTTTAAAAATGAGAATTACTGCCTTATGTGGAATGGCTTTGTATCTGGAGTTCTTAACACAATGTTATGTCAGCTTTTTACAGGTTGTATTTAAATTGCATTTGATTAACGTAACTTTATGCATGTCATTTTGGAAGCTCACCTAGCAAAGAGTTGTTTTTACCTGCACTTAGTTGCAGATATGATAGGATGATATTGGATGTCTTTTCTACTTAGATGTGCGTAGATATTACATGCATCCCTCAGCCTCTGTTCTTACAGTTACTCGAACACACTGTAGTGCCTGAATTGCTGATCTGTGCTGTGAGACCAGGATCGCTGTGGCCACAGCACAATGTCCATAGGCTGTGGCAGATTCCAGGTTAGAGCTGCCTCTTGTCTGATCGGTTCTTGACTGGTCTTGGCCCTGCGATGTATTGGACGGGTCTACTTTCATTGTCATGCCTAAAGGAATCTTGTTTAGGCCACGTTGTATTCTTCTCAGATGAATAATTAGTAGGCTGCCTGGGAGAACCAGCTAGGTAGAGATTACTGTTGGATTCTTTGTTTTTTACAACTCCTAGTAGATTCCATGTAGCCCTTAGATGAAGATACATAATCTGTTCATTTGAGGTGTGGGGATTTTTGAGTTTGTCTCTGGCAAAAAAGTCTCAGAAGTATAGAAGCTTTCTGGAAGACTAGAAGATAGAATCCTTGTAAGTCTTGCAGCACATTTCACATCTAGCAGAAGGAGAAAAAAGTACTTTAGGACTTACAGATTGTAAATAAACTCAGATGGCTTTTCCTTGGTGAGTTTCATAACTTTAACTTATTTAATCGTCTTTCTCCTCCTTATTTTTTTAGTACAGTTTTTCTTCTAAATTACTTCCTTCTGAGAGACTATGCAATATAGAATATTTACAGATACAGTTTCTTGTTATAAAGGAAGCTTTTATAGGGGAATCGTTTCCTCATCCCTTTAAACAAAACAGATACAAATTATTTTTCTAAAAAGAACTGGTCCAGAATTGCTATTATTGTGTATAATTTGCTCGATTTTTAATAGCGTTTATGAGGGCCTTCACCAGTGAAGAACTTGTGGCACTTGTTAATGAGGTTTATTTGTCAGACACCGGGATGTGGGATTCTTCTGTTTTTCTGTATGTGGAATAAATATAGTATCATGTCTTTTATTTTTGACTATGGTCCATACGTTTTTTTTTTTTACCCCTCTTTTAGTGGCCTCAAGCAATCTGAAGCAGAGTCCTGCTACATAAATATAGCACGAACACTTGAATTCTATGGAGTGGAATTGCACAGTGGTAGAGTATGTTTACATTGTGATTTTTTTCACTTGGAAAAAAAAAATGATATGCTTTTTTTTACATGAACTTAATAGCAGTAAAAACAGTAGCATGTAAGTATTGACTTTATCATGTGTTATTTTTAAATAAAAAGTTGGGTAATTTTTCAATAATTTCTGTGTAACATAGGTGCTGAAATTTCAACTAAATACGCCAGATCTCCTCAGAAGAGTAACAATGTATTTTTAAGACAAATTGTTTCAATGCTGCAATATATTTTACTTAATTTTACTAAACTTTATGAATGTCTTAGCATGAAAGAAAATGAATGCTCTGTTTAGTGCTGTGATGTAGTTGGCAGGTGTTTTAAGAGTTTACTTCCTCTGAATTTCTAACACTGTGTTAAGAATATAGAGGGGTGGGGTTTTTTAATTCCTGTATTCCCTGACTCCAGGCTAAATCTAAGCAGTATTTAACAGCGTGGAAGATGGCCACTAAAAATGTTTTTGAAATCTTTCAGATACAGGGTGTGCATTGATAAGAAACTTATCCTAGTATTTCACTGACTACTGGGATTTAATTGTTTGATTACACTAGCTGTCTGAGACGAATCCACAAAATACATGTGTTTTTTTAATTGCATCCTAGTGTGCAAGTTACCGTTTGTGCTTTTATGTAATAGCAAATTATTTTGGCATAAAGCTTGTAGTATAAAAACTTAATGAAGTGTAGTGCAGATGATTGATTTCTTAAATGAAGATGACTACTGTTTTTCCTAACATTTTTCTGACATTTGTTAAAAATCCTGACACTGAGAATTTTAATGAAAAAATCATCAATTTCTGTAATGATGGAAGGGGTAGAAAAGGTCATTTTCTTCCTTCAGCATGGTGGGTTTTCTTCTGTTTTTTCTTTATGCTACCACAAATGAGTGAGTGTTGCATTAGATTTCTACGAATTCCTAAAATGCTCCTGTATAAACTCACTGTAATTACATTCATATTCATGAAATAAATGCTCAAATAGTAGAGGCTTTTTTTAAGGATGGGGAAAAGTGCAAAGGAAAGGAAATAATTGAAGTCATCAAAATATGAACTGCCTATGCTCATGCCATCTAATATGAGTATCAGGAGAGGCAACTTATGTGGCAACTGTTGAAGGTGATCAGATATATTGGTTCACATGCATTGGTTATGGGTAAGTAATCTAGCATATGTGAACAAATTTCTTATCTTGTGTCTTCTGACAATGTAAAAGCCTTCCCAATTTCTAATAAGGTGATTACCTTTAAATGGTAAATGGACATCTTATTAAATCTGACTTTGTCTAGGTTCATTGTCCATCGGGTCTTCTGTCACCTTTCTGCTGTATTGAAGAACCCTTTACTGTCACACTTGAGGTTTTCCTATATGCACTTAACTTGATCAGTCTATGCCTTTTAACTTCTGTTGTAGACTAGTATTTTGATAAGACAACTTAAGTTCCAAGACTTTCACCATAAGGCTATTCTCTTAATATTATTGGGATGCTGTTTCAGAAAGTTCTTCAATATCTAACATCCTTTCTGAGTTGTAGGCCACCGAACTACATGCAGGATGTCAGTAGTGGTCATACCAGTGCCAAATAGTGAGGATAGTTTAGAGTCGATTCAGACATTTTCAACTAAATGAAATTTCATTGCAGTGTACTGGGCTGCTCTAGCTGAATAGAAATACCTTCTGGAGATATCTGCTTAAACAGTGTAGCTTTTTTTTTTTTCTCCCCAGAGCATTGTTTCATATTTAATGACCTGGGGCTCATGGGTTGTCAGAATATTAGCCATGATCCCCTACTCTGCCTGACACCAAACTGTATGATCTGAATAAAATAGAGTACCGATTTGAATCAAAGCCTTCTCTATTCCAGGCTGCTAAGATGCAAACTGTCTTGCTACTGTTTCAATCCAAATTAATATTTTTATCACAATTCAGTTGTTTTGAAGGATGAAAATATTTGAAGTGTTCTGTTTTTTCTAGCACTTGAACTAAGCATTAGACAATTAGAAACTGTTAGGAAGGAAATAGAAAGCAAAATAGAAAATGTCGTGCCACCTTTTAAATCTGTGTTTTGATATAATTTGAATGTTGAGTTTTGTTCTTCCTCTCCCTTCCTTATCTCAAAGTGCGTAATGGAATAAGAAAAGTACAGAGAAGGATAAGAATCATGAATATTTTAAGGAAAAGCCTTCTGTGGCAGGTGAACAGCATGGAGAACGTGAATAACAGACAAATTTTTTTTTTTTTTTGCTTTGGTAGTAAAAGATTTAAGGAGCTTCAGTCTCTCTAGAAAGAGACAGGTTTAAGCGAAAGGAACTTTTTCTATATGGCTGCTATTGAACTGTGGGGATTACTGCTATTTTAATGGGTGACCAAGGTGAAATAGGTATCAAGAGCAGTTAGACGGTTCAGTGGAAGAATGATTCACTGGAGTCCATTAAACATACAAAAAGCTTCTGATCCAGGAAATCCTCTAGCTGTAAATCACTGGAAGCTAAGAAGGGGGGTTATTAGTAGAGGTGTGATTGGTTGTCTCTGGAGTTTTGTGCTTCCAAAACATTGGTTACAAGTTGTCGTTTGGACTGAATGCCATGCGGCAAGCCTTTCAACCAACATGTTATCATTGATTATGCTCCTGAAGGCCACAGGAAAAGTGACAGCACTGGATTATATCAGAGTGGACGTTCTCGGCATTGTCTTCTAGTAGATAGCCTTCCATTTGCTGAGTGCTTTGCCTGTGCTGCAGCAGTCCTGCAGAAGAATACTCCTCAACATTTGGTCTCATCTGGTAGCCCATGTTGGCTGTAAATTACACTTTTCTGAAGTTTTAAACAGTCTATTTCTGAAGTTTGTTGTAAAGGTTAGATACACCCCCCCTTCTTCACAGAGGCTACAACGTTATACCCGAGCTTTGGCAGGGATGTTTGCCATGCCTCCTGATATCCTCCCCCCACTTAGTACTGCTCTTAAATCACCCCTTCAGTTTTGTCAGATCCCAGTGCTTTGAACAGATCTAGCGGGGACTGGTTAAACTGTGGCTTTTTGAAAGGCTTTATCTCTGTGGATCCTTATGATTCAGGTCTTTGCTGCTAAAATAGTCTTAGTCCTCTTAGATTGTATATGGCAGAAGAACACCTGGCTTTTATACTCATGGCCAAAAGAAGCTGATGCTCCTGTACCGGTGGTTGAGAGTGAGATACTTTTGGATAATGTTTCATGAAGAACAGATGAATATCTAGTTTTCTTAATTTTAATGTTTGATGCTACAAAGTAAAATATTTTGCAGAAGTCATGTATGAGCTTTCTTTTTAGCAACTTGCTAAACATGAAACTTCCATGAGCTCAGTTTTCATCTGCAAACACTTCAGCTTTTCTCTGAGGATAAATCTGAACTGCTGAAATTGTAGGATTCAAAAATGGTGTAGTATTAAGAAACGCAGGAGAGTGAATTCAATACTTTAAAACTGTATTGAGATTTCTTGAATTCCTAATCTACTTTTGACTCTGGACCACTATCTCATCTGCTAAATGTTTAGTCTGATGTTAACTCATCTTTCATTATTTTTCAGAGAGACGAAAATAGGAAATTTGTAGAATCAATATTGTTTCTATATCTACAAAAAAACAGATGGTACTTGTAAATGAAATCAAATGTGAATCAGTATTTAACTAGCTAGATGCCTGGCATGATCATTTTTATCTTTATAATTTTTTTTGATGATTACCTCTATAAAGAAACAGGTAAAAAGCAAAGTATACACATGTTATTTCTTGGTTGTGCAGTTTAACAGCATAGATGTTTTGAAAGGGAAATAACTGCACATCTACATCATCTTTCTTTTGGGAGACCCTCTTTCTTTATGCTAGTCCAAAATCTTGTTTTCAGATTTTTTAGGTTTGAGAGAATTCATTATAACAAATAGCATGGGAGGTTTTGGACTGGGGCAGACGGGAGTGGGGAATGAACTTTGTTCTGACAAAGCTCCCAGAAAAAATAAAGTAGTTTAGCCTAATTAATCCCTATCAAGTGTTTAGCTAATCCTTTATTTCTGCTAAATCAGGTTTTCAGCTTTTTTTCCTAAAGCTCTTTTTTCTTCACAGCATTGATTTTTAAAAGCAGGAACCTGGAGTAAGCTCCAAGTGCTAATAATACAGATTTCTGCCCTGCTTTAGGTTGGCTGTTTCATGGCAGGGGCAGCTAAATTACATGCAATTCATCTCCTGAAATGCCTCAGTTTTCTCCCCAAGTATTAAAATAAAGTGGTGTCAGTTCTGGATTCCTGTAATATGCTGGCATGAACTGACAGCTCGGGAGCTTCTTCTGATGGAGATTCAACCAGCTCCTCTCGCAGCAGTTCTTGGCAAAGGGGGGCAGCAGATAGCTGAGAATTATTAATAATTTCAGCTGATTCTGGGCTACCTTGATGTTAAGTGTGTTTGGACTGCTACCTATCTAACGATTTTCTTTTATTATACTCTCAGAGATAGGACTGGTATTCCTCTCATCAGTATTCAGTGTTAATGCACTATGTATTAAATAGGTTATGTTCATTCTCTACGCACTGCTGTGGTATTTCACTGGAGGTTTGTAAATCACGTTACAAATTAGGTTCAGCTTCATTCATTCATATTCAACTATTTTTAAAGGATTTATTGTAGGCTTTCCACAGTATTGTTAGAGCACATGCTGTCTGTTCTTTTCTTCTGTACCTTACTAATACAAAGAAATTGGGATTGGACGTACAAGAAAACTGTATTAACTGAGCACAGAGTACCATCTAGAGGAGCAGCTAAGCTACTGAAGGCTTTAAGAGAATCCATTACCCGTGGCCATCCTTTACAAAATAGTGAACTACTTTTGAGTCAAACCTGATGTTTTAACCAATGGGTTCTATACTTACGTGTAGATTTATGCATGTGTTCAGCTCTGAAATTTGTGTAATAATGTATTAGTATGTGTTGATCACAGAGAAGTAGGAAGCCAAGATTTGTAACTTTTGTAACATCAGTTTGGGTTTAGACTTAAATTGACTATTCAGCATCCTCCCTCCCCCTTTTGCTTCTTTTAACTCAAGTGTTTGCTTATACATAAACAAGTGTTTCCTCTTGAGTATCTCAATACATATAAAGGATTGTAAATCTATGGATGCATTTTTCCAGTTGAGCGTGTTAAGCTAATGCATGGTTTTTGTTTTAGTTAACAATGGATTCAGTTTAGTGTATCAAATGTTCAGGTACACATGTACATTCCTCTAGCATATTCTCATATGCAGAATCGTGGTCACCTCCTGCCCAGTCTTTGTTGGTGAGACCTTTTTGGAAAAAAAAAGGAATTATTTCCTTTGTCTTTTTAAACAGCTGAGAATCAGGACACTTGTGTTCAGTTCCCAAAATTCTGTGACATTTACCTGACTGATCTTGGGAAGTACTTCAACTTCTTTCCCATGGTTAAATTAGTAAGGCTGGACTTGAAACTTTAGTCTGATACTGACCTAAAGAATACCTAGTGTAGTAAGATGAACGTAACAACTTGTTTTAATGACTGGTAGTTTATAATACCTAGTAGATTACATTGAAGGAGAGAGATGCATGAGAAAAAACATCCAAATATATGATTGAATTTTTGCTTCAGAGTAGCAATTTAAGTATAGCAAACTTGAAAATGAATTTGTCAGTAGATAAATGGGAATGATACAAACTGTATCTGTGTTCTTACAGTATTTTTCTTTTCCAGGATCTTCATAATCTAGATCTCATGATTGGGATTGCATCCGGTGGAATTGCAGTATATAGAAAACTCATCTGCACAAGCTTCTATCCCTGGTAAATTCCTTTACTAGTAAAGAAATACATCTGGTCTTTTCAATATTATTTCCATTTGCTTTAACATTTATTCCAAAGAAGCCTACAATACATAAATTTGTTCTTTATGAGGTGTCATGATATTTCCTTGCATTGAGATAAAAATGAAACCTGTTGCCTAGCCTTTTAATTCTCTAAGACTGTTGGACTCCTTGCACTGTGTGAAGTCTTGATCAAGTTAATTCACATACAGGTCTCAGTTTAGGAGATTATTAGGACAACCCTGTGGTCTTAGAGATTTGCTGCTCTTATACCCAATAATGTCTTTTTTTTAAAATCAGTATCACTAGTAAAGCTCAACTGCTAATGGTCTGATCATTTTATCCTGTCATTCAGCAAGAAGGTATTTGCTTCTCAGAAGAGAAATATAAAATGAGTTATTTGGAGTTTCAGATTTACTGGAACTAGGATAATATAATTTAGACAAATTTTTAAATGTCATCAAACAAGGCTATATAATGTTAACAAGTTCTGGAGTCTCCAGGGGAGAGACCTTGGCATTATTCTGTGATACTGAAAACATTAGAATGCATGATAGTGCTGTAGAAAATAATCTCTACGAAGAAGCAATGTGCACAAGATGTCTAATGAGAATGACATTAGAAATTAGTTAAGATATAATAATTTATAGTATTTGTGGGCTTTGTTATTTATACCATACTAAAAATTATATGGAGGCTGGGCCTTTCCTTAAGGTTTTTGGATTGGATCAGAAAGAATTTTTCCCAGTCTTTCTTTTTTAAAATAAGTATGAATTTGTTTTGTATACTTGATGAAGTTTAGCTTTATCATGTTATGTGTAATTTCCTCATATAATTTGTAACAGTTTTTCTGGAGAACGTTTTCTTAATCATGACAGAAAAGTGCATTCTAATGGGTTGTACTTGGTTTTTGCTCTTTAATTATATAAAAAGGTGCTGCTTAGCAATATTCCTTAAATACTCGAGTTATTCCATCCTTTAATTATAGAATCCAACCTAACAGGTATTTCCTATGGGAAAGCAATAAAGTACATTTCAATTCATTTTTAGTGGAAAATACACTGCACAGTCTCTGGATTTTTCTTTTTCTTTGCATTGAGTTGTCTTTCAACTCACTTGGATGCACTGTAACCGTCCTAAATGTATGTCAATAATGCTCTCATACAGCACAGTGACATCTTGTATTTTTCCATCTCTAAGGCACACTAAAGCATAAAAGAATTTTATCTTTCATCTTTTTGCCCTGAGCTCTGCCCTTTCATGTGTCAATCTCGGCTTCTTTAAACAGCTGCAGATTTTAAAAACTGCCAGCTGGAGGCACATTTTCTGTCTTCTGCAAGTCTTGTTGTGCTGACTTAGTGACCTAAGGTATGAATGGATAATAGTAATCCTGGAAACCATAGTGATGGCATTTTAAAAGCCAGGACTATATGATTTTTAGGGAAGGGA